TGTTCAAAATTCATGTGTGTTCCACCTTGATCTGGATTGAAGGGTAAAGAAGCAGGTTCAATGTGTAGTGCATGTACTATCGCCAGCGGATTGGTTAGACCGTGCCTTCTTCAGAGGGATGACAAATCATTCTCATCAACAGGAACAACTTCATTGTTTGAAACATGCTGCCAATGCTGAGATGATCTCCTACCGTCATAGTCATCAAGTTGAGTTTCCTGTCCAGAAGGTGGATTGTTTCCATCTTCTGTCTCCACACCGATTGAAGTATCATTGGTTTCACTCAATTCAACTATCTGCTTCCGAAACCTTTTCCTGCTTCTGCAATCTACCTTTTCCTGGTTAGGAAGCACTGAAGGCTGGTTGAGATTACATTTAAGGGGCACATCCTGACCTCCAGGCTGAGGCTGACTCCATTTGGGTCCACAACCTAAATTATATGCAGTGAAAATCTTTGAGCATCTCCTACAGCGTAGGGTACTGTTCACGTAAGTACTGTAAAACGTGTACCGAATTTTGCAAGAGGGACATTGCGTCCAGAACGTTTCCTGTATTGCAGATGAAGTTGGTTGTTTATATTTATGGTGATTTAGATTACTCAACTGAGCATTGCAGATGAAGTTGGTTGAGCATATCTCTGGACCCTGTCGGGATCCTGTTTGGGTAGGTGGAAACCCAGTCGTTTTCAAGGTACCTTGGTTAGGAAGCTCTCTCTGCTCGTTGATATTAGATTTAAGGGGCATATCCTGACATCCAGGCTGACTCTGTTTGGGTCTACGAGCATAACATGCAATTATAGGCTTCTTGCCACCTGGTGGCGGTCTAGAATAAGGCTCCTTCTCCAGACTTGACGCATAAACATGAGCATAACCATCATTAAATTGCAACAGAGTATCGACACCCTCTTGGTCCCTTAGCCGTATCAATTCCGACCTATCAAACTTCACTGTAAAATGCAACATCTTATCTGAAGGATCAATGCCTAATCGGTCAAAAACTGCCTTCACAAAAGCATTGTACTTTATGCCCGTCTTTGCAATAACCTGATCAGTAATACCTCCCCCATACGTTGCCCCAGTGACAGAAACAAAACAGTGTTTTATCTTCAGTTCCCATCATGAACTAGTGTATATGACCACAGAGAAGGGTAACAATCTTGAAAACTAAAAATCTGATCAATAAATAAAATAAACGGAATCACTTATCAAGGCTGAATGTACCAAAATCACAATCCATAAGACAGGACTCAAAAGTATGAGGATTAATCAAGCATGTTTATTATGAGAATATTAGATATTTTTGCTAACAAATCTAAAAAGTTTAGAAGTTTAACCAAGAAGCAAAAATTTCCAAACGGAGTTCAAAGAAACCCTAATACAAAAAAAAAAATTCATGAGAATATTAGATATTTTTGTTGTGAAACATTATATTAGCAAAGAAGGAAACTTTCATCAAATGCAAAAGCGTCAAGATAGTTTCACACTATAACCAATCAGAAATTTTCAAAATGGACTCAAAAGAGTTAGCTATTTGTGTTTGTTAACCATGAAATTAGCAAAGATAAAAGCAATTTACGTCAAATGCATAAGGATTAAGAAAGAAACCCTAACAAAGGGAAAAAGTTTCAAACTTTAAGCAAGGAACCATACTTTTCCCATACAATTTGCAAGAGAAAAGAGCTGGTTTTGACCTTTTCACTATTTAACTCAACATTTCTTTTTTTTTCTTTCCTGAACTTGTACTTTCAAAACGTCTCATTTGTACTAGTAAAAGTGGGATCAATCTACGGCATATATTTGTGAGTATAGAATGGAGTAAGGGGGGGAAAGGTTACCTTGGGCTTGAAGCTGCAGATGCTTTAGATATTAACCAAATGATGTTTTTCTACCATGCTTTTGAAACTAAACACCCCTTTTTTGATGTTACATTTGTCCTTTGGTATCTTCTAGGACAAAAGTGAATTTATCAAGTAAATGACCGTTTTATCCTTTTCAATTTATTTTTTTTGGTAATATTAGCCCCAATTGCATTAATTAACTGTTTGAATTACTATCAATTTCTTGAAAAAAGGTAATGCATTGAGACTAATGTAAAAATAGGACAAATTGAGCAAGTTAGCTCCTTGCAAGCTACATATCTTATTCTTTATTTTTTTTTGGTTAAAAGGAAAATTACATTGAGTACTTTATATAATAGGAGTCTTAACAAAAGCTAAGAGACTATCCAACAGTATTTGAAGTCCAATTTATCAAGCAAGAAACTGATGAGGATCAATTCATTTTTTAGTCTCACCAGGCCATAATTTCAGATCCAAATCAGTGATCATAGGAAACTCTGGATTAGCAGCATGGATGCCGTTCAAGCTTCCAGTCTTTAGAGATGTCGTAGCATGCTCAGATGTCCTCAACTTATCTCTAGTTCCAGAGGGAACTCCTGACAAAACATTTTCTACAGGTCTGGAGTTTGCAGTTTCCCTAACTTTCCCAGGGTACCAAATATCATTCGGATTGAGGGGAAGAGCATAAGGATTAAGTTCAAACGATCCTGCAGGTACACCCTTTCCAGTCATTTTGAAAGAGGGAATTCGATGAGGGAACTTGTAAAGTTCTTTTGGATTTACATAGTATGTACCAAATGATGGCGGTATAGAAGCCTGTTTGTTAACCAGGTGAATAATATCAGGAGTTGTATCTGATTCTGAGTCAGAAATAACAATAACTTGTCCATCACCTGATGGCGGTTTAGAAGTCTGTTCGTTAAATATCCCAATCTTGGAACTGTTGTTATGCACATCACCTTCAGGAAGATCTGCTCCATTTTGATTTAATCTTTCCAGGGAATCTCCAGCTGACTGAATGCACCGCGCCTTCTTCAGAGGGGTTGCCAAATCATTTTCATCATCGCGTACATGAGTAGTATCTGGTTTTGAATCAGAAACAACAGGAAGTTCAACATTTTTCCCACTACCTGATGCCGGTCTAGAATAAGGCTCCTTAACCAAACTTGATACATAAACATCAGCAGCACCATCATTAAATTGTAACAGAGCATTGACATCTTTTTGGTCTCTCAGATCTATCAATTTAGACTTACAAAACTTTGCAGTAAATTGCAAGATCTTATCTGAAGGATCAACAATGCCTAATCGGTCAAAAACTGTGTTCAAAAAATCATTGTACTTTATGCCTGTCTTCACAGTAACCTGACGGGTAATACCTCCCACATACGAAGTTGTTCCATCTGGAAGCACCTTCTCCGTCCAGCCCCAATGACAATAACAAAACAGTGTTTTATTTTCAGCTCCCATCACATGAACAGGCTCAAAGGGTAACAATCTCGAAAATTAAAACCTGATCAAGAATTAAAATAAATTTGAAGGGAGTTATTTATCAATGTTAAACACTCTAACAAGGGAGTTACCAGATTACAAGCATTTTTATCGTTTAAATACATATAAATATATACATGTTCTTGAAAAACAATCAAATTCTAAAAACAGGATATATAGGAATGAAAAACCAGCCAAGCGATAAATTTCAATTAAAAGAATTATATGTTCCACTTTTTCTGTGGGAACATGAAATTAGCAAACAAGACTAGCATACAAGAGCACCTTCCACCTCCAATCCGGAGATTGTAGGTTCGAGTAACCAAGAGAACAAGAGCAGTATGACTTCCTAACGAGGGGTAAAGAGAAAAAAAAGTAAAGAAGATTAGCAAACTAAACCACAGAATTTCGTCAAATACAAAAGGATCAAAACAAAAAACCCAGCAAAGGAAAAAGTTTCAAACTTGAAGCAAGGAACATAATAATATTTCTACAAATAAAGCTCAACTAGTTGCAACCAAGAGTGTGGCCTAGTGGTTAATGAAGTCTCAGGTTTAAATACCAGAGGAGACAAAAATACGAGTCAAGGTTACCTGGTACCTTTTACTAGTGGAAGATGATAGATATCTCATAAAATTACTCAAGGTAACCGAAAGCTGACCCAAACATCACGGTCATCAAAAAAATTAAACTCAAAAAATAAAGCTCAACTAGTTGCAGAATAAAGCAAGGGAAAAGTATGTTACCTTGAGTTGTAGAAGTTTATTTTTTTTTTCTCTAAAGCTGCAGATAGTTTTAAATTTTAACTAAAAGAGGTTATTCAGCTAAAACCCCTGTTTGTTTATGTGAAGTTTTTCTACTTATATAGGAGAAGAATTAAATCTTTTTCTTCAGATTTTCAACGTATAATCTGTTGTGCATTGATTCAATGTTAAATAGTAACTTTTAATTTAAGATGATGTTTGTCCAGATAATTTGGGTTAAGAATTTCAATCCTATTAAATTTCATTATATCTTCATTAAATAAGTGATTGAACTTCAACTACTACTGAGTACTGCCCTTCAAAATAAATTTCACCTTTTTCACTATAAGAAAAGTTACTGCTATTTAATCCTGGAGTTGATTTCGCATTAAATTTGTTCTTCTTGTAATATTGAAGTCATAAAACTATTTTGGACCAGCAAATTACTACATTAATTATTTGTAACCGTAAAGTCACAAAACTAATTTTGTAATAATAGTCACTGAATTGAGTTGAGGGTCTTATCACAAAACAATCTCTCTAAATTACACTGATATATTATTTGAGCATGATGAAACTCTCTATTAGCTCGACATAAGGTTGTCTAACAAGGCGGGACAGGTTGGGACGATATAAGGGGGTCCGGGACTTTAGGGAGGCGAGATTAGCAGGACAAACCCCTCGGCCCGTCTGCCTGTCCTATCTCACTGAGGGGATGGGACTTGGACGGGTAGGGAACTTAGTTGGATTTTCTTTTTGTTTAAAATTCATATTAATTTAAATATTTTATATAAGACTACATAATTAGTAAATGAAAACAAATTTAAAATAATCTTCAAATTTAAATTGATAACATTACAAATTCAAAAACATACAAACAGACAATATTTTTAGTGGGGCGGGACGGGTACGTACCTTAGGGGTCTGGAACAGAGGGGATGAACTCTTAGGCCCATCCCATCCCACTAAGCTAATGGGACGGGACGAGATATCCCGTCCCACTAGACAGGCTTACCTCGACATAAGAAATAAATTGGTATGTTAGACTTGAGTGACTGTTTTTTTAACACAACTATGGTCAAAATCAGTGGAAGTACTGTCATTGGCAGAACAAGAGCTCTCTGAGTTTGTTTTTTTCTCAGAGACGTTCATTTCCATGGGAGACAAGTCCTTAAAGCTTACAAAAGTGACTCACTTTGGCCAAAATAACCTAAGGTGCCATAGGAGAAGAGCCATCAGTGACAAGTCTTGGGTGTATAAACCCATAGCAAAAGGGGGAGGGGTATCATAATAAACAACAATTTCCAAAAACTCCAGATTCATGTGTGCTAGTACATTGCCCTCCCTATCAATGAAACAACAGGTCATCGGTGTGTTAACGGACCAACTGACAAATGACAATGCAAAACTTCAATTCCAAATTTCTCTAAATCCAGGAGAACCAATTCATTTTTGAGTCCCATCAAACTATAATTTCAATTCCAAGTCAACGAGCATAGAAGACTCTCCATCAGTAGTGTGAATGCCTTTCAAATTCCCAGACTCCAGAGATGTCGCGGCATTATCAGGTGTCCTGGATTCATCTCTAGTTAAAGGGGGAACTGCAGATACAACGTTTTCTACAGATTCGGAATCTGCAGTGCTGCTGTCTTCCTCAACTTTCCCAGGGTACCAAACATCATCTAGATCAATGGGAAGGGCATAAAAATCAAGCTCAAAAGATCCTGCCGGTACACCCTCTCCTTCAGTTCCAGTCATTTTGAAAGAAGGAACTCGATGAGAGAACTTGTAATAATCTTTTGGCTTTATAAAAAATGTATCAACTACATTCGGACGTGTTGGCTGGAAAATGCTAACAAAACCGCTCACTTTATCTAAGTAACCAACTAGGAGACCAGCACCATATTCATAATGAGAAAGAATCTCCACAACTTCATACTTGTATTCCCTATGATTCTCTGGAACAGAGCTCCAACTAATATCCCAATCTTTAAAGAGCGCCCATATTTCCCCTTTCCTAGGATATACCAGATATGGACCTTTCTTGCCCTTTATGTACTGCACTTGATGAGAAAATAGACGATGATCCGAAGAATTACATTCAACAGAATCAACACTCCCACATTTAAATCTCCCACAACCAACAGGCAAGAGTCCCCTGACCCAAGCGTGCTCCCTCGGATATTCTGGATTAGGCTCGAGCCATCTGAGCTTTATCTTAAATTCAGGACTGGATACATTCTTAATGAGGGCATATCTTCTTGGCATACCATCATCCGCTTCATAGGAAGCCCAGATCTGGTCAGTTGCAAAGCAATTTCGCGCTCTATGCTTGTCAAAATCACTGAATTCAGGTTCAAGACGATCATCCTCAGGAGGATTACTATCAGAAGTTGAATCTGTTTCTGAATCAGATACACCTGATGGTTGTCTAGAAGCCTGTTCGTTAACTGTCCCAATCTTGGAATTGTTGTTCTCCACTTCCCCTTCAGGAAGGCCAACTCCATCTTGATTTAATGTTTCCACATAACTACTGCACAACCTAGTTACACCGGCTTGCTTTTGAGCATCATCACCAACAGCTTCTTTCTGCTGAGGTTTACTGTCTCCACCTGACTGGTGAGCCCATGCTTTCTTCAGAGCTTTACTATCTCCGGTTGACAGGAATCGCGCCTTCTTCAGAGGACTTGCCAAATCATTCTCATCATCACCTGCAGGAGTTGTATCTGGTTTTGAATCAGACACAACCATAAATTCAATTTCTTTCGGCCCACCAGATGGCAGCATAGAATTAGGCTCCTCCGCCAAACTTGATGCATAAACATGAGCAAAACTATCATTAAATTGTAACAGAGTATTGACATCTTCTTGATCCCTCAGCTGTATCAATTGGGACCTATCAAACTTCACAGTAAAATGCAAGATCCTATCCGAAGGATCAATGCATAATCGGTCAAAAACTGCATTCACAAAATCATTATACTTTATGCCTGTCTTCAAAATAACCTGACGGGTAATACCTCCCACATACGAAGTGGATCCATCTGGAAGCACCTTATTCTTCCAGCCCCAGTGACAGAAACAAAACAGTGTTTTGTCTTCAGTTCCCATCAGGACGTAGTGCACAAAACCACAAAAACTCCAACAGTAACAATCTTCAAACTACTCTTCCATTTTTTACCTTGAGAAGGATAACAATCTTGAAATATAGAAGAAACCTGATCAAGAAAATAAAATAAATTTAAAGGGAGATACTTATCAAGGTTGAATATAATGTGCAAAATAATACTCTATAAGGAAGGCCACTATAGCATGACAATTAACCAAGCATCTTAATAAAAATGTTATTTTCATTTAAGAACATCTCAACTCTCAAGCTTCATGATCTTCGAACAATACCAAATCCTAACTATAGTAACGAATCGAAAACCAGCAAGTCAATAAAACTTTGGTTGTAGGAAGAAATTTTTCTAACTAAATGTGAGTCAACAAAAGAAAAGGTAACCCGCCCAACGGAGCCAGGAATTTAAACAAGAAGATTCAAAAAGAAATGTTTTTTATGCCAAGGGGATTCAAAAATTTATAAATATGCAAAAGTAAAAAAAAGTTTTTTGTTACCATATTCTATAGTAGAATAGTCTGTTATCCCCGTCATATTAACATAAACTATACCGAGCGTAATCCAACCAAGGGCGGCTCAACATAATTCGAGGCTTAAAGCAAAATTTTAATTAGAGACCTAAAATCTAAATAAACTTTATTTGTATTTATTTATTTTTCTATATTTTTAGATGTAAATTACTACTTAATATCTTTTATATAAAGGATTTTTTCAAATATTTTTTTTAATTATTATTTTGTAGGTAAGATTTTATCAATTCAACATTGAAAAACATCATTTTATTGAGACAATTATTATATGAATTGTTAACATAATTCAATAAGTAATCAGTTGATAAACTTTAAAGATAAGAGTTAGAATCATAGAATCTGATTCAAAATGTTGATAACTTGGTATACCTAAATTAATATGAAAATTTTACGAAGAAATAAAAAAAAAAAATTGTAATTCACTTTGTTCAACACTTTTTGACTATTAATTTATATTTTTGAGAGAGTATTACTCTAACTATCAAAGATTTAAAGAAATAGAGTGCAAAAGGAGTTTAAAATGATAAATAATGTGAGTGTTAGCAAAGAGAATGTAAGAATTCAAAATAGCATTTTCTTGAATTCTTCTATTTTAATGGGGTTAAGATACATAATTTTTTATTTATAGAAATTTGAGGCCCCCAAAAATTGGGGGCCTAAGGCCAATGCCTTAAATTTTATAGGCAAGAGCCGGCCCTGAATCCAACCAAGTGTCAAAAGGAAACCCTTCCCTCTCAAAACAAAAAAAAAAAGTTTCAAACTTCAAGAATCAGAAATTTTCAAAATTGGTATAGATAAAACCTAATACAAAAAATTTCAAGAAAATATTAGACATTTTAATTTACTGTGAAACATGAAATTAGCAAAGAAGACAACCATAATAAACCACAGAATTCCATCAAATGCCAAAGGATCAAAACAAAAAACCCCAACAAAGTAAAAAGTTTCAAACTTGAATTAGCAAGGGTCACAGTCTTTCAAAATAAAGTTGAAACAACTTTTTTCCCACAAAATTTGCAAGAGAGACAATTTGGTTACACTTTCAAATTCAACACTTCCAAAACATCTCATTGTACTACGGTTATAGTTTATCATCAAGCAACTACTCATTATAATACCTCGTTTCTACATCACAATGCAACAAGTTATTGGGGATTAATATGAGTAAATTAATACTATAACAATGCATAAATTATTCTGCTATTTTATATTAATCAAATATAAATAAACTTATCCTAAAATTAGTATCGAAATTAACAAGTGCTATATAATAGTGGGTAGAGAATATTGCAAGGGAAGAAAGTTACCTTCAAGCCGCAGAGAGTTAAATTTTTAAGCAAAGTAGGTTTTATTCCAAGAATTAGAAGGTGAATCGTCAATCAATTTATGGTAATTGATTAGTCATTTTATTTTATTTTATTTTTCAAAAGTGACTCATAGCTTCTATATGTCATTTTAGTTTAAAATATACATTTGATATCTGTTTAATGATTACTAATTTTTATTTTTAAAACTTAAAATACACATTTAAATTTGTTTAGGATTCAATCCATCATAATAATTAAAAAAATAAAACCAATAATAGAAAATTAAAATATCTAGAGAGAAAAATCATCTATTGAAATAAAATTCCTAGAAATAACTTTCATTCAACACATTGAATTGGAAAAATAAGATTTAAAGTCATGAGTTCAAGCCTTAAAATGTTTTTTTTAAAAAAAAAAACCTTGGTTTTGGAGATTACTTTTTTTGTGCATTTTTCTTGTGTTTGGAATTATTTAGTAAAAATTAAAGACACGTAATTAGTTATTTATCAGTTTTCATTGATATAAAAGCATTTATAAAATCTTAAGATTTAATGATACTTTTTCAAAGAGAGCTCTCTCTAAAATCAAACCAAAAATCAAATTCAAATGTCACCAAGTGTTCCTACTTGCTAGCACTTTTGGCAAAATGATATTTTTGTAATTTATTTATCCGACACAAGTTTTCCTAGTTAGCTTACATTTTAAAACAAGTTAGAACAGGCTACTAAACATATTCTTCTTTTTAAAATAGCTAAACCTTAATGATAATATTTCTAAAAACACCCCAAGTCATCCACAATTCAAAGCTAACGTTAAATGATCCCAAAAAGTATCAAAGGAATAGCTGTAAGACCTGAAACTTTCAACTCAGAAAACAAAAACCAAGAAGCCTTTTAAATAACAAGAATGTTGCCTGTCTAATATCCTCCTAACATGTTATCTGGCGATACAGTTCATTCACCAGCCTTTGAAGCAAAGGGCTAATTTATATAAATAGCTGTTGTAACAAACATACAGCATTTAAAAGTATGTCCAAGACAAATGCCAACGATACCTAAATTGTAGCGTGTCCTGAATTTTAGCAAAACAGACCCTTGACTGAAGTAACGCAGAAGACTGGAGAGAATCTGTCATATCTACAGGTCATCTAATCATTGAGAAAGAAACTGATGAGAACAAAACGCCATCAGTGTGTTAATAGAGCAACTGAGAGGAAGATTTCATTTCCAAGATTCTCTGAATCCAGGAGAACCAATTCACAATTCTTGAGTCCCATCGCACTACAACTGGTGCATCACTTTACTGCAAACACGGTGCTGAAGCAGGATCAAGCTCCCAGCAGCCTCTCAAAACCCCTCCTTTTTCCCCAGTCAACTGAAATGCAGGAATCTGATGAGAAAATCTCCCAAATTCATCTTTAGGTATTTCTAGAATAGCAGGATTCGATCTTTGTATTCTTGGAGACCTAAAGACTGACTTGAAACCATTCACACGCACCATGGATGAAACTTTTATCCGGTCTTTTGAATTCTCAATGACCTCCACTATCTCATACGCAGACGTGTCTGGATGCAAACTTAATTTTTTCCAGTTCTTGTACAGTGCCCAGATATCGCCTTCTCTTGGATAGATCTCAAATCTGTTCCTATTAATAGATACTGCTTTCACCACATGGGAGAATGAACTAGGAGCATAGACTTGACGCTTTTCACTCTGGACTTTGAATGTTCCACAAACAACCTGAGCATTTTTAGGTCCTGCACACGCCTCAAGTAGGACTGCATGCAATTTGAATGGGGCAGGAACAATCTTCTTAATCTGAGCATAAGTCCTTGGCATACTATTTCGACCACAAAGAGCCCATACCTGATCTACTTGAAACTTCCCCGGGGATATATCCCTCCTAAAATCACAAAAAGCTTCTTCAGAACCTTTATCATCGGGAAAAGTTATTGGATTCTTGGAGCTTCCAGAAGAGTTGCTGAGATCAAAGCTCTTCGTGCATGAATGCAACTCTTCATCAGTGTCATGACTTGAGTGACGGTCTCTTTTAACACAAATATCATCAAAATAAGTGGAAGAACCGTCATTGGCAGAATGAGAGCTCATCTTACTTTGTTTTTCCTCGGATAGGTTCACTCCTCTAGGAGATCTTCGAACCTTAGCAGATTCTCCATTAGCAGCATGAATGCTTTTCAACTCCACAGACTTCAGAGATATCGTCACATTCTCAGACTTTCTAGACTTATCTCTATTTCCAGATGAAACTGCAGGTGAAACATTTTCTACAGGTTCAGAATTTGCACCCTTACTGCCTTCCATAACCTTTTCAGGGTACCAAATATCATCTGGGTTGAGGGGTAAAGAAGCAGGATCAAGTTCAAAGGATCCCGCAGGTACACCATCTCGTTCAGTTCCAGTCATTTTGAAAGAAGGAATTCGATGAGAGAACTTGAAAAGTTCATTTGGCTTTACATAGAATGTACCAACTTCAGTCAGCCTTGATCGCTGGAAAAGGCTAACAAATCTGGTCACTTTATCCAAGTAACCAACTTGGACACCCTCATCCACAACATAATCAGACAGGATCTCCACAATTTCATACTTGTACTTCCTATGATTATCTGGATCAGAGCCCCAACCAATATCCCAATCTTTGAAAAGGGCCCATGTTTCCCCTTTCCTAGGATAAACAATGTACAGACCCCTCTTGACCATTTCGCACTGCACTTGATGAGAAAATGTAAGTCGATCAGAAGTGGATTCAGTACTCCCAAGTCTAAATTTCCCACAGCCAACAGGCAACTCTGCGCTGACCCAAGCTCTGCCTCTTTGATCTTCAGGGGAAGCCTCAAGCCAACAGAACATCACCTTAAATTCAGGACTGTGTACCTTCCTAATGTGGGCATAGAATCTTGGCATGCCATCAGCTGTATCATAGCAAGCCCAGACCTGATCAGGTGCAAAGCAATTTTGTTCTTTAAGCTTGTCAAAATCACTAAATTCAGGATCAGGATAATCATACATCTCTGGAATATTACTATCAGGAACTGTATCTGGTTCTGAATCAGAATCCACAATAAGTTCAACTTTTTTTGCGCCACCTGAGGGCGGTCTAGAAGACTGGTCCTCAGCTGTCTCAAACTTGGAATTGTTG